TTTATTAAACTAAAGTTATTGGCAAATTTCCAATGGAATTTATTAATAATAAAGTTTTTGGCAAATTTCCAATATACATAATTTAAAAGCAGTTTAGGTGAGATAAACAAAAAAGCTTCATCATCAACATTTTATATTGGCAAATTTCCAATGAAGTTCATTAAACTAAAGTTATTGGCAAATTTCCAATGGAATTTATTAATAATAAAGTTTTTGGCAAATTTCCAATATACATAATTTAAAAGCAGTTTAGGTGAGATAAACAAAAAAGCTTCATCAGCAACATTTTATATTGGCAAATTTCCAATGAAGTTCATTAAACTAAAGTTATTGGCAAATTTCCAATGGAATTTATTAATTGGCAAATTTCCAATATACATAATTTAAAAGCAGTTTAAGTGAGATATTCAAATGAGTTTCAATTACCAACCTTACACTGCCTTTTAAATTATGTTTTGTACTTAAGTAATTGTCCATTAACCTGGAAACCCTTTTCCCCCCTTTTTTGCACCTTATTCCTTAACGGTTTGAGCCATAACTCCCAAAGACAATTCTTACCATCCCTTTGTGGTATTCCAATATCCAAAATCTAAATACATGGTTAGATTCAGCATATCAAAGAACCCCAAGAATTCAATTTTTGATGAAATCAAATAAAAAAAGTTCAATATTGGACCCTTTAAACCTCAATGTGGACCAATTTGATAACCGGACCCAAATATCAAAAATCTAAATGCATGGTTAGATTCAGCATATCGAAGAACCCCATATATTCAATTTTTGTTGAAATCAAACAAAGTTTAATTTTGGTCCCCGATTTGGACCAACTTGAAAACTGGGCCCATAATAAAAAAACTAAGTACATGTTTAGATTCAGCATATCAAAGAACCCCAAGAATTCAATTTTTGTTAAAGTTTAATTTTGGACCCTTTGGACCTTAATGTAGACCAATATGAAAACGGGACCAAAAATTAAGAATCTAAATACACGGTTAGATTCGGCATATCAAAGAACCCCAATAGTTCAATTTTTGATGAAATCAAACAAAGTTTAATTTTGGACCCTTTTGGCCCCTAATTCCTAAACTGTTGGGACCAAAACTCCCAAAATCAATCCCAACCTTCCTTTTGTGGTCATAAACCTTGTGTTTAAATTTCATAGATTTCTATTTACTTATACTAAAGTTATTGTGCAAAAACCAAGAAAAATGCTTATTTGGGCCCTTTTTTTAGCCCCTAATTCCTAAACTGTTGGGACCAAAACTCCCAAAATCAATCCCAACCTTCCTTTTGTGGTCATAAACCTTGTGTTAAAATTTCATAGATTTCTATTTACTTATACTAAGAGTTATTGTGCGAAAAGCAAGAAAAATGCTTATTGGGCCCTTTTTTGGCCCCTAATTCTTAAACTGTTGGGACCAAAACTCCCAAAATCAACCCCAACCTTCCTTTTGTGGTCATAAACCTTGTGTTTAAATTTCATAGATTTCTATTAACTTATACTAAAGATATAGTGCGAAAACCAAATGTCTTTGGACGATGACGACGACAACGTCATACCAATATACGACCGCAAAAATTTTGCAGTCGCAAAAATTTTGCGGTTGTATAATAAAATCAAGAGTTTGGTTTAGATGTTTCTCAGTGTCACTGTTGATCAAGTGACTTTCTATATTCCTCCACTTTCATTACATTTTAATGGCAAAAAATCCTAAAATACCAAACAAAAAAACGCAAATTTGTGAGCAAATGTGGAATAATAAGAAACAGGACCTTTTCAAATTTATTTGGTGATTGTAGGTTATATGGTATAAATGATCCTCACAGGGAAATGACAACCTGATAATCAAAACGCTGATTCATTTGCAGAGATGCTTAGACTGTGCTTCATTATATGATGATAAAAGTAGATTTTTGGAAATGCTTCATTGGCCACCTTGGTTTGTTTTCAAATTATGCATGGTAACTAGGTAACTAATTTAGACAGCATGGTGAATGAACAATGTTACAGGTTGTAGTGCAGTAAATTATAAATGGTTGGATCTGACTGAGTCTCATTATGAAGAGGTGACCTTCACATAAATAAAATACATTAAAAAAAAAGGTCATCAATTAAAATCTTTCAAACAAAAACATTTATCATCTTGTCAACTATTCTAATATCATCTTGTTAACTATTCTAAATGGTTAATACACCTATTTCAATTTGGCCTGTCTTTGAAAAAAAAATTTCTTTGGCACAGCATAAAAAGTTTGACACCACAGATCAAAAGTGAATGTTTTGCAAATGTCTTTCAGTTATCAGGTGCAAATTTGAGATCAGTGGTATGAAAGTCAATAAACCTGAAATTGGTGAATAAAAAGAACAGAAACTTTTCTATCTAAAGCATATATTTTGTACATTAAAAGATTCAGAAAATTTATATTAAGAACGTTCTATGACTAACATTTATGAAAGAAAATCTATTATACATAAGATGCTTACATCAGAAATATTCAGTAGCATGCAAAAAAAAGGGGGAGTAAGTGGCAATTCTCTAACAAATAAATTCCCAAGTACACAAATCAGGACAAATTTAATTAATAGCATGTGTATATAAACCATAAAATGGGTAAACAAATTTTGTTTTCCAAAGATTTCTGGAGATCAGGATTTAATCCAACTTTGAATCTATGAAAAGACTGCTATGTATTTACATAAATTCTATTTTATAGATTTAGAAAACATAATTACAACTCTTTTTCAATTATGAAATGTGAACACAGCTCCCAAATTCCACACAAACAAAAAAGTGCAATTACACATGTGTCAAACCAATGCTCAAACAAATGAAATGGATAACAACTGTTTACACTGCATTTAAATATACTGTTGAAAGTTATAAGTCTGATTAGTGATGATCATAACTAAAACATCTAAGCATTGTACTCTATGCCATTGTTCGTTTTGTATGTTGTATTATAAATTTTAATATTCTTTAAAAAAAAAAAGAAAAAAAAAAAGAAACCAAAAATGAAATTCGGTTTGAATGTCAGAGTCTAATTATTCAATCAAGAGTGAGAGGATCTTGGATCAAAGTTCCTTGCCTACCAAATAATCTGACGACCAAAGACCTAACTCTTAAACCTTAAATGTCAATGTATTCTTGTCTTCCACTCAATCTGACAATTAAGGACTTAAGTCTTAAACCTTAGATGTCAAGGTCTTCTTGTCTACCACACAATCTTATAATCAAGGACTTAACTCTTAAACCTTAAATGTCAAAGTCTTCAAAACTTTTAGGCTTGATCAAATCTTTTCTTTTATCCTTTACCTAGCTTAAACAAGAGTGCACACACTGAAATGTCTCGCCTACTATACTGACCATTGATTTTATGTTGATAGTCCTAAATATAAAGTTTTACTACAAGTATCACATTAACACTTATGATCCAAGAAAATGAGGTCAAAGTCAGATAAACCAAGCCGAAAATACATGTACACCTTTAATACAATCATTCCATACAACAAATATAGATGACCTATTGCTTATAATAAAAAAAAAACAGACCAAACCATGGAAATTTTATATTGACCAATGAACCATGAAAATGAGGTCAAGGTCAGATAAAACCTGCCAGACAGACATGTACACCTTAAAATCATTCCATGCATCAATTAAAGTTGACCTATTGCTTAAAGTATCTAAGAAACAAAGTTAACCAGGAAAACTGAACATTGACCAATGTACCATGAAAAGGGGAAGGTCAGATGATACCTGCCAGACAGACATATACACCTTACAATCATTCCATACACCAAATATAGTTGACCTATTGCTTAAAGTTTAAGAAAAACAGACCAAAACACAAAACTGAACATTGAGCAATGAACCATGCAAATGAGTTCAAGGTCAAATAAAACCTGCCTGGCTGACATGTACATCCTAAAATATTTCCATAAACCAAATATAGTTGACCTATTGCAGACACATGATACAGTAATAAAAAAACAGACCAAAACAACAAAAACTTAAATTTTACCACTGAACCATGAAAATGAGGTCAAGGTCGAATAAAACCTGCCCGGCTGACATGTACATCGTAAAATATTTCCATAAACCAAATATAGTTGACCTATTGCATACAGTAATAAAAAAACAGACCAAAACAACAAAAACTTAACTTTAACCACTGAACCATGAAAATGAGGTCAAGGTCAGATGACACCTGCCAGTTGGACATGTACACCTTACAATCATTACATACACCAAATATAGTAGACCTATTGCTTATAGTATCTGAGATATGGACTTGACCACGAAAACTTAACCTTGTTCACTGATCCATGAAATGAGGTCAAGGTCAAGTGAAAACTGTCTGACAGGTATGAGGACCTTGTAAGTTATGCACATACCAAATATAGTTATCCTATTACTCATTATAAGAGAGAAATTAACATTACAAAAAATCTTAACTTTTTTTTCAAGTAGTCACTGAACCATAAAAATGAGGTCAAGGACAATGGAAATATGACAGACGGAAACTTCATATCATAAAGTATCTATATACAAAGTATGAAGCATCCAGGTCTTCTACCTTCTGAAATATTAAGCTTTTAAGAAGTAAGTTAACGCCGCCTCCGAATCACTATCCCTATGTCGAGCTTTCTGCAACAGAAGTCGCAGGCTCGACAAAAATCAAAAAGATTTGATCAATCAGAATTTTAATTTTATATAAAGAAAGTTTCTTTGCTTTTTTTTTTTGTTGGGGGAGGGGGGGGGGAAACCATTTAACGATAAATTTAAAACTATCTGTCCAATCTATGCAAACAAGTCATTTTAAGCAAGTAACAATTTTTTATTCTGAATTCTTAAAAATAAGATGGAGGTCAAAGTTCTCATACACAAAAGTAAAAATTCTGCATTTTCTGAAACCAGGAGTGAAGGGTTGATAATGAAAATAATGCAAGGATTATATTGAAAGCGATCACTCAGGAAAAAAGTCATGTGTTGTAATACCTATTGTAGAGTTCATTCTTGTTCTGGTGTAACCTGATCAACTGCTTCTAAATAAAATCAAATAGTTAATATATATTTTGTGTTCAAAGGGAAGTAACTCTCAAAGATTTTTACATGCTTCTTCTGTTGTTCAGTTTTTAGCATGTCACGTACCTCTTACCTTGAGATATGTGCAACAAAACAGCATCATAATTCAACCACTGCCTGGTCAATATTTTATCATATCATATTTCAAATGAATTGTGGAAATCACAGTATTGAATTTTCACATATTTTACACCAATTCATACTGTTAAATTACCCCAAAAATTGAAACATAAAAGAATTTACCTTGAAGTATCAAAATCAACCAAGATCTGTTCAAGTAACATAATACCATTCATGTTTTACATCAATATTTTTTCAAAAATTTCCACTGTAACTACATGCTCTTAATCAGCCATTTTTTATTAACTGTTACACAATCATTTGAAAATTATATTTGAACTTTTAAAAAAAAAAGAAGTTGGAGTGCACTTTTTTCTTACACCTAGCTAGCTACCAACAATGCAAATTAAAGAATTTATAATCAAAGCTTACTATTGGTCAAAGGTTAGTTAATCCTTAATATTGAAGATGAAAATATAATTATGATATACTCTTTTCAAATGTTGATATTACACAACTTTTTAGATACTGTTTACAACTTTGCAGATTAAAAATGTAAAAAGTCTAGTTAATTTTGCTCTTGAGTCGTGCATTTTTAGCAATTTTTTTTATCTAAAATGTTACAGATATCTTAATAAGAAACATGTTTTAACACAAAAAAATTAATTTGGCAGTAACTCAACATTATATACAATAAATGTGATGAAAATTTGAGTCAATAATCTAAATGCAATGAAAATATACCAAATCTGTATCTATATAACCCGAACCATCAAACAAATGTGATGATAGACCTCAGGTAAATAATCTAAGTGCTACGAAATATACAAAATCTTTATTCATATAACCTCAACCATCAAACAAATGGTGCATTATATCATATAAACCATAAACCTGACTATGATATGGATAATTAACCAAAGGATTATAAACAGCATTTAGACAACAGGATTGGAAGCAAACCAGAGTTACTGTATGATAAATAATAGATTCTTATATCAAGTAAAACTCTCTGGTGACAAATGCAAACATCATCAAAACTGAAATACAGCTTAACTTCATTAATACTAAATCATTTTATGGATATTATGGACTAAAAACAACAGGGGCAGTTAAATATTAGAAATTAATCAATAAATCACATAGGTCAAGCATACATTGCATTTGTCATTTAAACCTTGGAACAAAGGGAGCCCATACATTGCATTTGGTTTGAAAACTTTGAAATCGGTGGTCAAACATTGCATTTGGTTTGAAAACTTTGAAATCGGTGGTCAAACATTGCATTTGGTTTGAAACTTTGAAATCGGTGGTCAAACATTGCATTTGGTTTGAAACTTTGAAATCGGTGGTCAAACATTGCATTTGGTTTGAAAACTTTGAAACTGGTGGTCAAACATTGCATTTGGTTTGAAAACTTTAAAATCGGTGGTCAAACATTGCATTTGGTTTGAAAACTTTGAAATCGGTGGTCAAACATTGCATTTGGTTTGAAAACTTTGGAACAAAGGGTGGTCATACATAGCATTTGGCATGAAATTCTTGAAATAGGTCACACATGCATTAGGCATGAAAATCTTGAGACGTGAGGTCATAAATTGTATTTTACATGAAAACCTTGAAACAAAGGGAGGTCATACATTGCATTTGGTTTGAAAACTTTGAAATCGATGGTCAAACATTGCATTTGGTGTGAAAACTTTGAAACTGGTGGTCAAACATTGCATTTGGTTTGAAAACTTTGAAATCGGTGGTCAAACACTGTATTTGGTTTGAAAACTTTGAAATCAGTGGTCAAACATTGCATTTGGTTTGAAAACTTTGAAATCAGTGGTCAAACATTGCATTTGGTTTGAAAACTTTGAAATCGGTGGTCAAACATTGCATTTGGTTTGAAACTTTGAAATCGGTGGTCAAACATTGCATTTGGTTTGAAACTTTGAAATCGGTCGTCAAATATTGCATTTGGTTTGAAAACTTTGAAACTGGTGGTCAAACATTGCATTTGGTTTGAAAACTTTAAAATCGGTGGTCAAACATTGCATTTGGTTTGAAAACTTTGAAATCGGTGGTCAAACATTGCATTTGGTTTGAAAACTTTGGAACAAAGGGTGGTCATACATAGCATTTGGCATGAAATTCTTGAAATAGGTCACACATGCATTAGGCATGAAAATCTTGAGACGTGAGGTCATAAATTGTATTTTACATGAAAACCTTGAAACAAAGGGAGGTCATACATTGCATTTGGTTTGAAAACTTTGAAATCGGTGGTCAAACATTGCATTTGGTGTGAAAACTTTGAAACTGGTGGTCAAACATTGCATTTGGTTTGAAAACTTTGAAATCGGTGGTCAAACACTGTATTTGGTTTGAAAACTTTGAAATCAGTGGTCAAACATTGCATTTGGTTTGAAAACTTTGAAATCAGTGGTCAAACATTGCATTTGGTTTGAAAACTTTGGAACAAAGGGAGGTCATACATTGCATTTGGCATGAAATCCTTGAAATAGGTCACACATGCATAAGGCATGAAAATCTTGAGACGTGAGGTCATAAATTGTATTTGGCATGAAAACCTTGAAACAAAGGGAGGCCATACATTGCATTTGGTTTGAAAACTTTGAAATAGGAGGTCACACATGCATTAGGCATGAAAATCTTGAGATGTGAGGTCATAAATTGCATTTAGCAAGAAACCTTAAGACATTTTCATTGTCGAAATGTGCATCTGGTGCAGAAAAAATGGTACCGTTAATGTTATTATTACACATTGCATCTGACATAAAAACTTGAACCACAAAAGCTTAAACATTGTATTCAGCAAGAAAGTTGAACCGCAGCTGACATGACAAGTCTGCAGGATGTTTTGAAGGGTAACACAAAGGTGATTAAATGAGGAGTAAAATGAACCTTCAACAAATTTGTACACCAAGCATGTCAAACTTACCATCATCATAACAAGAATCACCTATACCTAAAAAACGGTCAACAGTATGTGTAATAACACAAATTTAATAAACTTGTAACATGTAAACAGCATGTGTAATAACACACATTTAATAAACTTGTAACATGTCAACAGCATGTGTTAAAAACACACATTATTGATTTCATAAGCTTGTAAGATATCAACAACATGTTTTTTCATAGATTTTCCAGCAAGATGTTTACTACATGCCTAATAACACAATTCATTTAATAGAATATCTGAAATATTTCAACACCAATACTTAATAAGACTGCACAGGGTTCTATGATATTATTTTTATATAAAAGTATAAGTAAAAAGGTAACACACATTATGATCAAAATTCCAAGGAAAATTAACCAAAGCATAAAACACATTGAAAACAATTCTTTCTTTTATCTTTTAAAGTTCAGAGTGTTTTAACTTCAGTGATTTTATTCCATAATATGATCTCTTTTCTTTTGTATTTTATTCAGCTAACCACTTCACAAGAGAATCAGAACACATAACCATGCTGTTATTTTAATCAGAAAACTGTTCATATATTTTTCATAGCCGATACTACTTACTTCTTAATCTCTGTCTTTTTTCGTCTGCTGCTTTCTTCCATTCTGGTTCTGCACTCTTCTTTGTGTCTTGAGCTGAAATGAAAAGATCAGAAGATATTTTAATTTCAAGTTTCTAAATAAACAATAACAGTAACTATCTTTTTTATTTTAAGTGTGTTTTTCATATGTGTTCTAAGGAAAATTTATGATTGAAAGAGTTTTAAATATAGTAGATATTCTCCCAACAGAATATCCAATTACACAATGTTTCACTGTTAATTCAGAATTGTATTGAACGTTTTTATTATTGTGAAACATGTAAAATGAGTTCTTACTTGCATTTTTAATTTTAATAGCATAATTTGTACTCAGCATTTCCAGAAATCATAATAATTAACCTGTATCACTGTCCATTGGTAATTTGTTAAATTAATGCATGCGATAAATAATTTTTTGAGAACAGAGAAAAGCTATATTTTCCAAAATACACACAAGTATATATAGATTATCCCCCTGTTTTGAGTGTTATATTTTCCCACTCAAGATAAATGTAGTTAAAAATTTTCAACAAGTGAGATTTAGAGTAACTTAGGAGCAAATAAGAGAAAGATTTGTTTTCTCCAATTTGTTTCAGCCTTTCTTGTGTAAAATCTGATTGATGGAATCAAAAGAAAATGGCACTCTTGCCAACAATACCACTGAAGGTGTAACGTCACAATGAATTAGTCCGCCAATTTTTATATCAGAAGAAATAGCTAAAATCATCTGACTTTTCTGAGGGTCACAGCTGAAGTCTTGGATATCTGACATGAAAAGGTCAACCAACTTATAAGCGGACAGACTTTTGCTAGAGTATATAGGGTAATTTCTCAACTTGATTTAGTTGCATAGTACATGTACTCTACATGTTCAGTTTTCACCAAAAATCATTCCCAAATTAAGTGAGACAAACAGTATTGATTGCTGTGGCCTTAACATCCTGATTTTTAAAAGTTGACTAGGTGATGTGGATATATATTTACATACAATTTTACATCTATAACTGACTATACACATATAATGTAAATTTTTCTTTTTCTTGGTCAGCACATCATTATTGTCATCTTATTGTCATAATTATATTTGTTCTTTTTTCATAAAATTTCATTAATAACAAAAAGTATTTTTATATATTACAGCACATACCATTTTCAGCTAATAAATTTCTAATATAAATTGAATTTTAAAATAAAGTGTCATTTGTCTCCCCTTGATCAGATGTTCAAACATAAGTATAAAAATGCAAGTTTGTAACTATTGCTTTTTTACCGTCTTTTTTGTAAATACAAGCTAGTGAACCATTTATTATAGACATGAAAAACATCTGGACACTGATAAGTTTACATGGCTAGACACAGTTGCTTTTATCTTATAATAACATTCCCTGTTCTTTTATTCACACCAGAAATTATCATTTTGCCTCATACATATACTATACCTTTTGCAGGAGTTTGTCTCATTTTCATCTGTCCTAATTCTACTTTCCAGGGAGGTAACTCTTTGTCACCTGCTGGCTCTGCTTTCATTGGCTGAAATTTTAAAGAAGAATCATTAATTGTATGGAATAAAACAAAAAGTAATCCCTTACCACTAAATAATCTTTAAATTCTTTTAAAGTAGTAGTTTCATAAAAAAAAATAGAGTCTGCCCTACCATCATTCAGAATCATCAAATTGCTGTTACATTGTTAAGACTGCATAACACATGTACTCTCCAGTAAAGAGATTTATATCTTCCTCTATATGCCATAAACTGGTCTGCCGTTACATCTAGATAGCTTCGCACCGAAGGAACGGGTTGGAGCCATTGTCACATTGGCATTAATTGGACGAGTCTTACAAATTCAATGATTCGCTAATAAAATAGACCAATTATAGTGATAGGAAATTGACCTCAATTGTTAATACTGCGATGCCGCAAAATAAACAAGTATCTGTTAATTAACCCTATGGTGGTAGCGCAGATAAATGACCAACGAGCGTGCTATCATGTCTTGACAAAATGAGCCGGTATCTTTCATTCCCTTAAGAACTCAGTAGGGTAATAAATGTGCTAATTTTTCGTTTGATTTCCTATCAGTATAATACATAATAAACATAGCACATGATGCACTAGTCTCGTTGAATTATTAAATCCCGTGGTCAGAATTCTGATCACGGGATTTAGGCCGTACCTGTTGTCAGTGTAGCGATAAGTGAACACAACAGGGGTCCAGTTTATATATGCCACTCCTATTTCATGTCTAATGGAAATCGCTTATCTTTTAAATTTTGATGAAACAATATTATTTAGTCCATCATTCTTCTAACTCTCCTAGGGTACATTTCAGACTAAAAATCTAGAGATGTTTGAAAGTTTCAGGAGAACAATGTATGGTGATCGTTTCTTATTTGCTCCATCGCCCAAAGAATTGTACATATATGTGTTTTTTTCTGAAACATTCCTAATGTGATTAGTGCATCAAATGCATGATTTCAGTTCTAACCTAATAGATATCTCTGCCAGAGATAAACTGTTTCTCATTTCTCGTTTTTTATATAGAGTAGACTGTTGGTTTTCCTGTTTGAATGGTTTTACACCAGTAATTTTTGGGGCCCTTTATAGCTTGCTGTTCGGTGTGAGCCAAGGCTCCTTGTTGAAGGCCGTACTTTGACCTATATTGGTTTACTTTTATAAATTTTGACTTGGATGGAGAGTTGTCTCATTGGCACTCATACCACATCTTCTTATATCTATTTGTAGAACCAATGCAACTAATCTACTTGAGTGTGTAACTTAATGCATAAGAGTTAAGTTTGCTTGTTTGGTAGGTGAACCATAGAATCTTTATTAACTATAGATGTAGTAACAAACTGATCAAATAGGTTTTCAGTAATCTTTTGTTTCCTGTCCTATGATTTGATTGCCTAGCAATGACCACAGTTACTCTTTTAATAGGTAGTAAACAAAGGTACAAGGATTGAGCGCTCACAAACATGTTTAACCCCGCCACATTCTTTATGTGCCTGTCCCAAGTCAGGAGCCTATAGTTCAGTGGTTGTCGTTGGTTCATGTCTGTCATATTTGTTTTTCGTAAATTGTTTTGTTATAAATTAGGCCGTTAGTTTTCGCAATTGAATTGATTCATATTTTTCATGTAGGGGTCTTTTATAGCTGACTATACGGTATGGGTTTTTCTCATTGTTGAAGGCCGTACGGTTGCCTATAATGGCTATCATCCACTTCATTTGAACTTTGGTGGATAGTTGTCTCATTGGCGATCATACCACATCTCCTTATTTTTATAAAGGTAATAAAGTCAAACCTGTATACAAAGGTCATCCTTTGGACCAAAGAAAAGTGACTTTATACGAGAGGTGACCAATAAATTGATGATGATGGATGGCTGCTTAACATCCAGCAACAAATTAATATGCATATTCAGGATGAGAACATGTTAATGTAATATGAATATTAACCCTGCTTTGTACTAGACCGACATGCTGAGCCGGATTTTTAACGGGCTAGTTCACAAGTAACAGTCCGCAGGAAGATGTATCACCTTACCCTGACACATTATTCTGACTCCGAGCGGACCAGTCTTTGCTCTTTCTCCTAAATGCCGACCAATAAATTGAGGTTATAAATGCGTCAGTATTACTACAGCAGGACAATAAAAGGTGACCTGTCAGGACAGATTTACGCTTACAAAAGGTGACTATTAAGTTTGACTGTAGTGATTTCATGGTCCCCTAGCAAACTTAACTTTATTGTTTTTGTGCACACTCAAGTATAGTAGCTACAAAATAAATTTTTTGTTGAGATACATGTAACATTAAGCTTACAGTTGGTGCACCATCGCCATCTTTTTGTCGTCTTCGTTTTTCTGCCAGTTCTCTCTTCCATTGTGGAACCTCCGATGTATCTTTAGTTGGAGTTACAAATGCCAGATTGGGTGTAGAGGGAGACTTTCCTCTGGTATCTGTTGTTTTCAGCCAACTAGGTACATACTGGTCTCTTCCTAAAATTCAAAATACTTTTTATTAACTTCGAAAAAATAAGCAAGTTTGCAATCACATTTCGAACATAATAAGGTAATCTATATATATAACAGCTGTCAAATAGTAATATTTAATAAACTTGTATCATTTTTAATTTTAGTTTCCTGTGTATAATTTGGAGTTTAGTATGACGTCCATTATCACTGAACTAGTATACATATTTGTTTAGGGGCCAGCTGAAGGACGCCTCCGGGTGCGGGAGTTTCTCGCTGCATTGAAGACCCATTGGTGGCCTTCGGCTGTTGTCTGCTCTATGGTCGGGTTGTTGTCTCTTTGACACATTCCCCATTTCCATTCTCAATTTTATTGAAAAATATTTTCAACAAAAAATATAAGTTACTTATGGTTCATGCAATATATTACATACAACCTTATTTTGTGGGTCTTGATCTAGTCTTGAGTTTGTGCTACATTTTTTTTTCTTACACATTTTACCTTCATGCTAAGAAAGATAACTCAATTTCACAAATACAAAATGTTTACAAGTCAATGGCAAAACTTATGGTCAGTCTACAATGGTCTAAATAATTTTTTTTCTTTTAGCAAACAATTATAGAAGAAGTTAGCTATGAATTTCCAAAGCTTAATACGTGGCCCTTCGTTGTAATCTTTTAAATATTTTGTATCTTCTTATCATTATCATCATCATCATGAAATTTATATAAATTATAAACCAATTCCAGTAAAATACTACATTCTACAAATGCATAAAACACTTGGATAACCATCAAGCTAAAATGTTTGTATACATAGGTATATAATTATTTATTTGCTGTATCTATGAGCTATGAAAATCGTTCATTTTGGATTTGCTTGTAATGTTGTGTTAAGTTGCTATCTCATATTAAAAAGTTTACTCCATATTTTTATTTATCCACATTGTGCATTGCTCATTCAACAAGGACAAAAAATTCAATAGAAAAATAAGTATTGTCATTGACACGGTTGATGTAAATTCATTGTATATCATTTTTATGGAAATTGGTAGTAAAATACAATATATTAAAAATGTTTTTCTATCCTGCTTCCAATTTTTTTTTTTTTGAAACCATTCTGAATTATTGTATTTAATTATTTTTGCCATATTGACATGAACCATTCAGATTATAATTCAGCTGAGTTTTTATATATTTCCCACATACACAATATTCGTTGACAATGCAATGGAAAGTCATGATGAATTCTCTGTGAGAATGTTTGTGTTGAAATGTGCATTACAAATATTATAAAAACTAAGCCAACGTAAAAATTCCAGATAATGTTACCTGTATATGATACTCTCTTTCTATCCATTTTTTTCTAATTACCTGTGTTCTTTTTAGCTCTGAGATCATCATCATCATGTTCTGAACTTGTTGATGTAAGTCTTGTCCGCGATGGAGTTTGATGACCATTTATTGCATTCTCCTGTTTAGTCTCCTGAAGAGGTGTGGAAGATTTCCTTGGAGTACTTTCTGACAAATCATTACTATCTGCATTTCTATTTTCTGAAACACATGAAAAGATTGTTAAAGATAGTGAGATATCTGAATTCACAGTAGACAGACATCTTCATTTGAGATATCAGTTGCTCTTTGCACAAAAAATTTTAGGATATTATATTATGAAAATGTTCATCATTTACAAATATTTTTACTACAGATTTTGGCAACATTAAATTCAATAATCACTGAAGAGACATCAATTGTCCAAATGGCATCTGGTGCGGTAAAATGTTAAAACTGTAGATAACAGACCACACCAAACACATTGAACAGTAAACAGACCACACCAACCACCATCACCAGACTCCTTAATAAAGTTAAGATCAGGCTCCTCCAATAAAGTTAAGACAAAACAACACGGAAACAATGCCTGGACACATGAACAATAGGCACAAGATGCTTCTGTTAAAAATCAGTCTGAATTTCCATAATGAATTCTAGTAATAGTATGTTATTCCACCAGAAAATCTCTCTGTAGAACATGTAGAATGTTAACCAACTTATTTTCACAGATACTTTATTCCGCATTAAGACCTTTCTTGCCGACTTGGCAGCATTAATTTTTCACATTTTTGTAAATTTTAAATAGTTAGGTGAATTCATACAAAAAAGGATAACAATTTAACATATTCATGATATTTGTGACAATTTATATTCATGATATCAGGGTTATTTTTCTACTAATGAAATGTGCACAAATAAATCACTTGCCAAAATGAGTTGGTTAACAGTATTCCATAGGTAATATATATATGATGCCCTTTATCCCTGTCAGCCCACGTTGCAGAGCCTACCTCAACAAGTATGTTCTTATTTAAGAAAAGCATGAAATAATTAACCTCTATGTTAATCTAATAACAATCAATCAATCAATCAACCTTGCAACATTCTTCATGTTCTTTGTGAAAACAGTTGTACTGTGTAAAAATAATTTCTACAATATCAGGAACATACAGTTAGTGCTAATATTTTTGGCAGTTTTGTTATTAAAATATTTTCTATGGTCATGGTGGTAGTTAATTTTGCAGCTTTATAAACACTCACTACAGGTAAAAATTTGGTGAAACATATAAATAACATTCAGTGATGTCATAATCAAATGAAGAAAGGAGAACAGGATTGGGGGTTAAAGACAAAAAAGGAACACATCAATGGTCAACTATGACAGACATTCAATAACAGTTAGTCAACCAAATCATTCATGTCATTATCATACATGTACCTGCCAACCTCTGAAGCCTTAAAAGAGGGAGATCTCCCCCTCAGCTATGACAGCTGAGGGGGGGATTTTGTGCGATCGACATTTTCAAGTTAAATATATGACCTGTTTACGTATTCATCTACAAAACACCAATAAGAGTTAATAAACATACTTTATTTCTTCAATTCATGGATATAATCTTTCCAAGGTGGGTTTTTTTCAAGCTTTTTCAATACCTCCGACTCTCAAAACTCATAACATTCCATATTTTGATTTTGTTGTGAGTATCACACTACATGCACTAAGCATGCTTTCAAACATTGTACAGACCACCAGAAGAAATCGAAAAGTTAATTGAAAATGATGTGCAAAAAGATTCATTGCCAATGCAAGTGAACTTGGTCGTAAAAATTGAAAATCTTTCATTCAAATCTGCTTGACATTCCGATTTGCAGTTATCTATTTCTTCTTTTTTTCACTGCAGCATGGTCCAGACAAAGACCTCTATCTTGTGAGAGTTGACATAGCAGAACTGAATTTCGATTCCTTATATATATATCGAACATTAAAACTAATGAAAAAGCCAGAGTATTACGAACGCGGGTTATTCCAGGTCAAAATATCCGAAAGCGGGAGATTCTACACTCCTGTGTTGGAGCAAATCTAGACTGGCAAGCAGGAGATTTCCAGAATTTCGTCGTTTGCGGGGGAGACTCCCGCTGGAAACGGGAGGGTTGCAGGTATGCATTATAAATGGTATTCCAAAAGTATTTGTAGAGCTGCCTTTACCTTTACCAGTAAGAACCAATGGTTCAAGAGCTTCCTTGTAAGTATCAACCCTCTTTTAAGAAAATTCTGATACAAAATGCAAACTCTGACAGCTTTGTAAAATGGTATTAATCTGGAAGATATGAACTCCATATGAATGTGCTCCTTGGATGTTGCTATATAAAAATGGAAAGTTTATGATGGGAAATTGAATTCATCTTTCTTTATCAATAAGTACTCATCTTTCCTTTACCTGTCTTATGTCAAAGTTTAGGTATAAGTCATGATATGAAGCAGACTTGTCATTAACTATTCCTTTATGTAAAAACAGAGTGTGTATTTGACCAATGTTATAGCCAGGGAGTGCTAAAAACCCCAAAATAGGTCTATAAACTTATCTCAGTGTGTGACATTCGTGATAAAATTATACTATCAAGTTAATATGTTTTGGACACTAGTTGAATATTATTTGACATTCCAAATTCTTGGCTAAGTTATTCTGTAATAATAACAATACCTTTAGAATCATGTCTTTTCCTGGTATCGGATGTTAACCAGCTGGGTTTTTCTTCATTTTTATCCCCAGATGAATCAATGGATGCTCCTCGAGTAGGTTTTAGTTTGGTGTCTTGTAGCCATGATGGCTTCTCATGATCACTTCTGACACTTTCTGACCTTTGAACACTTGATTCCTTTTTAGAGGGAGTATTGCGTAGAGAGGGAACGTCAAACCGATGCTTCACATGAGAATCTTTACTTGTAGAGTCATCCATGTCTTGTTGTAATGACCTAGCTGATTTTAATTTGGGTTTTTCAAATACACCAGTTGGAGGTTTTTCTGATTCGACAGTGTCCGTTTCAGATTTTACTCGAGGGGTGCGTCTCAACATGGGCACATCAAAAGTTTTTGTTTCTGGACTTTTAGGTGGCTCTCTTCTTTTAGGTAGAGGAGTACTCCTTAAAGTAGGGATCTGAAAAGTCCCCTCTTCTTTTTCCTGACTATCTGTCTCTCTTTCTTTATGAACACTTTTAAGCTGGGGCACATTGAATTTGTTGTCAATCTCCGTGGGAGATTTTAATTCTAATTCCATTTTTGGCACATTTTTTAATTCCGGCACATCGATTTGAGGCTTTTCTTTATAGACATTTCTTAATGTCTCTGTTGGTTTAGGAACGTTCCGTAACTGAGGCTTTTCAAAATACATTCCAATGTCTATATCATCTGTACTACTCTCGCCCACATGATCCCCTAAAGTTAATTTCATATCTGATTGATCACTTATACCGTGAAGGTTTCTTAACGTCTTAGTGGGAGGATTGTCTACCTTTTTTAATTTCGGAGTTTGAAAAATATGTCTAGAATCGTCTGAAATTCTACTTTCAGAATCATCGTCTTCTCCTGTTTTACCGTGAATAAAACGTAAACTTTCTGTAGGAGCATCATCAACTTTTCGTAACTTTGGGGTTTGAAAGACATGTTTGGTATCCATATCATCATTTTGTTCTGAAGCTCTACTTTTCGTTGGTGATTTTTCCACCTGCTTAAGAGCAGGCATATCAAATGTTTTTGAATCATCACTATCTTCCCGTTCTCTAACTGGTCGTGAAACTGCTTTCAACTTTGGTTTTTCAAACTGGTGTGTAGGTTCTACGGGAGATTTCAATGCTTCCTGATCCGATGTTTTCCTAAGTTTTGGACTTGTTATATTAGATTGATTGTCTGATTCGCTAGATCCACGAGACGATGGAATTGGAAGTTTAACACCAATGTTTCTAAAATCTTTTTTTGCTTCATCTGGTGTCAGGTTACTATCTGATGGTGTAGAACCTCTAGATTTTCTCTTAGGAAATCCCATAGGCTAAAATATAAGTTTTATATCTTAAATATACATGGAAATAAAACATGTCAAAGCAGACTTAGAAAAACATAAGGCATTGAAATTATATCTACATGGATGGATGAATATAAAAACAATACTGTAGAGGGCATCATTGTTTTAATGTATCAATAATACTAATTTGATAATGATATTAGTATCATTGGGTTTGCAATTTGAAGTAGACTTTACAGTAAAAGATAACAATTTTGGAAAGATGTATCATCCTACTAGCTTAGTTCAATATCATTATCAAAATAAACTTTAAATATGGTCATATGTTGACCTATAGTTGCTTAAATCTGCATCATTTGGTCTTTGGTGGATAGTTGTCTCATTGGCAATGCTACCACATCTTTTTTTAATTTCTATATTAGGAACCAAATTATGCTAGATTCCTTTAAAAACATGAACATGCAATGAACTAATACGTAACTCTTTATAGCAAATGTCTGTACATACAGTAGATTATAATAATCTTTTTTTCTTACAACAATATTGCTCAGTACCGTTAATGATATATGAACTTCTCAAATGATGTGTGGACCATTAATCCAGTCAACCTTTATGGGTTAACAAGTATGTATATAAATAGTTAAAGGTTACATAGATAATATGTACCATTCCGATGCCAGGCAAAGCAACCATTCCTGGAAGTGGCTTTTTGGCAGGAGGAGATTGTGCATCACTATCTATGGAAGAACTGCTGTTACGTGAGAAAACATCTTCATCTGCATGACCATTCTGCATAACAGGCTTTGGCTCTGCAAAAAAGAAATTGATCTCTTTATAATAAGTTATGAAATGGATTCTGAAAATTCAGGAATTTTCGTGCATTTTTTAAAGTGATTGTTGAACTATGGACACAAATGCCAAATTGATTATTGTAAATTCAGGAAATGCTGCATACAAAGAATGTTTCAAAATAAAAGAAGAATGTGTCTGAGGACACGAATGCCCCCACTCAAGCTTGCTTTTCAAACAAAAATGGGACGGAAGGACGGAAAGACGGTAAGATGGAAGGACTGAAAGACGTACTGTCAAGGGTAACACTTAATGTCCCCTTCCCCTTGCGGTGGGGGCATAATAAAAAATGCTAGTTTTCATTTTTGCAAACCTATCCTGTTTTAATTTTCGTAGATTTCTTAATTTACAGTAGCTGCATTAATTCAATACCCAGCAAAAGCTTGTACCTCACTGCAAATTCAAGATGGCCACTAGAACAGGTTTGAGAGAAATTATTATGTGATTAAGATAAAATTAAGATAATATTCCCTGGCATAATTTTTATCTTTAAGGAAATCACAATTAACGAAAAGAAAAAACATGAAAATAATACATTGTGAACAGTTTCTGTCCTAAAAAATCATAAAATTTAAACTCTATAACAATTAACCCCGTAAATTTGTATTATAAAACGTTTTCAGATTGCATTTCTTTCATAAGTCTTGCACTATTAAATAGTATTGTGACAGCAATTTATTTCGATCTAACGAAACAAAATGGATTTTAAAATTATTTCTGTATTAAAGTTTCCAGTTCAAAATGGCTAAATAGTTTGAAGAATAACTGAACATTGTGAAATATGTACCTGTAGAATCAGAATATCGACTGTTTTCATCAGCTGCTCCCATGCTATGTATACTTGTTCTACTGGGTTTACGCCTCTTTGCTAATGATCCTTTCTTTCTAAGGACAGTTTTCTGTTTACCAATATCAACATCTAAATGAGTATTATCCTGTGAATGATAACAATTTGTAACTTAAACGTTCTCAAAAGCTAACGGCAAAGGAAAAAGTGTGCTTATTGTTTCAGAATGGATTCTTAATTTGAAGTCAAACCCAAACATTATAAATAACTATAAATATTTCTTCACAATTAACTATTTACCAATATATGAGTTGTTGTAACTGCTAACTGACTCCAAAAAATACAACACATATTGATTACAAATTGTAAATTTCTTAATAGCGACATAGCTGAATGTAACATCACTCGATTTTTATTTGCCATGAACAATTCAACAGGTACCACTTTAAGAGGAAGACTGCTTACCCTTCGTGAGATCATCCTTTGGTTTTTTTATGAGGATTTATTGTTGCTCAATCTTTAGTTTTTTGTGCTGTGTTTTGTGGAATTATGTGGTTGTGTCATTTTTCTATTGACCTTGGTGCTGAGAATTATTTTGTGATTGACCCTTTGGTATGTTCGTCTACTATTTATCTAAGATTAACAATTGATCATCAGAGATAATTGATACACCTATCACTTTATTAGTTACTGTTTAATTGACATTTAAAAAAAACACATCTCCTTTTAATCAACTAAAAAAGTGAAAGAATGGGATAAAAGAAAAATCTTTAACTTATCAACAAATCTTAAAGTAGTAATACTAAGGGTGTCAAATGTGGAGCAGGATCTGGTAACCCTTCTAGAGCACCTGAGATCACCCCAGTTTTTGGTGGGGTTTTGTGTTGTTCAATCTTTAGTTTTCTAAGTTTTGTGGACTTTCTCTTCCTTTGTTATTTTTGTTATTTTTGCCATGGCATTGTCAGTTTTTCTTTGACTTATGAGTATTTAATCATAATGTCCCCTTGGTATCTTCCGACTTCATCCATAAACATCTCACAAAAAGGTGTATAATTAGAAAATACTTCTTCCTTAAAAGTAGTAATTTACAATCTAATTGTTTCATATATACACTATGTATTTTAAATCTTTTCTGTTTCTTCTGAATTCTCAACCTCAAAGACAATACATATACAATGATATACTGTGGATATGATATTATTCTTGGGATACCAATTTTCGTGGATTTCGTGGGTACAGGTGAACCACCAAATTTAGTGTTCAACAAATAACAAATTTTCTATATCCAGGAACATGTAAGTTTTCCTTATTCCACGAAATTTGGTACCAACGAAAATAAATGAATCCACAGTACATGTGATATATGTATGTACTACATTTAGGTAAGTACCTGGACAATGGCATCTAAATCAATGCTCTCTTCTCTTTGTAAACCATTCACAACTACCTGAAAACAAGAAATTTTCCATTAATTATGCTTTTATAAAATGACATATAAAGGCAACAGTATTAAAATTATTTGATCAAATTAGAAAAAAAATCATAGTTTATAATATCCTTTTAAAATTAAAAGACAATGTACTTAGGTCAATAAAGTTTGTTTACATCATTTTTTCATCCTTCATTTCTGCAAAGTAACAGACCATCTATATGTATTTCAAGAATTTAATCCTACCACTAACATTTGTAATGGCATCCAAAGCTAATAAAATGATTGTTATTAAATTTTGCAGTTTATAAAGGGAATATACCAGTGAAATTATCTTGCCAAAAGTGTTTTTTAAATTATTAATTGGCAATTGTTTTGTGTCAAAGGCAACATCATGGAAGTAGGGTACATACTTTGTTGGATTTCAATATGGCTTATTGGGATAAGATGAACAATTAAGTCACATGACTGTTGTAAGGCAAATTTCAAACACCAAGATTGAAAGAAACAAACAAAGTCATTTATATATGTACAGTATGGGTTTTACTCATTGTTGAAAGCCGTACGGTGAACTATAGTTGTTAATTTCTGTGTCAATTGGTCTCTTGTGGAGAGTTGTCTCATTGGCAATCATACCACATCTTCTTATTTTTATATGTAAATTCAGAAATAATTTTGAGGTTTTTATTAATGCGAATAATGCCACTGGATGAGTATCCCAATAAAAAGAACTTGCATTCTGATATCTGATACATGTATTTGTATGCAGATTTTCCTGAAATTACAAGAATTAATCTGGCATTTTTGTCAATTCTTTCAAAATTGCAATTGTAAATGCACGCAACAATTTCCAAATTTACAGTAATGAAATTGAAAATAAAAAATACTTAATATTTGTAACCATAGTAACAAGATATACCTCTGTATCCTGATCCATAATATCAACCTCATTACCAGTTTCATCTGTAAGCATGACATCTACTTTCTCATTGCTATGATCAACAAAACTTGGTTCATACTTGTCACCATCGTCATCGTCTTCATCTACTTCATTCGATCCCATGGAATTTTCCTCTTCTACTTTTTCATCACTTATATCATCATCTTCATCTTCTTGGTCATCAAAATCTATCAATTTATCCTCTTCCTTGACATCGTCACGATGAGAGTCAAACTCGAAAAGTTCATCTGTCTTTTCTGTTTTTATTACTTCACTTTCTTCAAAATCAATTAGTTTGTCATTTTCTACAAACTCTTCCTTTCCATTTGACTTCTCAGTGAAAAAATCATCCGTACTAAAGACATCTGAGTCGTTTGGTTTTAACGATTCTGATGTGAAATCGGTCGGGGCATCAAATTCGGACATCCTTAACGAATCGTCCATGGAAGCTGCATTTGCGTAAGGTTTGTTAGACTTAGTAATCGCTATCAAGGTTGCATCAGAACACATCTAAAATTTGAAATAAAATATTTAATTGTAGGTTCTACTTGTATGACTTCATAAAAATTGGCAAACTCATAAAGATACAAGATTTCAAGCATGAGAATAGTAAGTCAGTTGCAAAATAACTTCTATAATTTTATAAAATGTATGATCTAAAAATGTGTGATTAAAATCAATTAATACTCATCAATGGAAATAAATATATATATATAATCGTGATTTTGGGAAAGAAAGAATATAGTGATTCAAATCAAAACACAAAATATGCATACATATGTAGGTTTTATTTATATATATATATGTAGATATAGATATCTGGATATGGAAGGTCAACATTCAAACTGTTATATGTAAGTTTTGACTGTTAACTACTGATTTTACTGTAAGCTACTGGTCAGTCTTATTTCATCAAACTCTCAAACAGAATGGAAAAAGTTCAGCATTTTTCAGATTTCTAACTATATATTCAAAAAGAGTATACTATTTATTTTTGCTATTACCCCTCAAAATAGTTCAATTCCTATATAAGCTAGTTAGCTGCGGAACTCTAATGGTCCTTATTATGTTTTCTGATTTGTGCGGACTATAGAAGATCAGCAAATTGTCAAAAAATATCATAAAGACCTAAAAGCTACGTTTCCGCAGATAATTCCGAGTCAGACAGAAGGACCATCATACAGACCATTTGATCACCCTATTTCTTAACTGAACAATCAAAATTAGATACTGTTTTATTGCAGGCCAAGTTCTCAAAGTCTTCAAAGAATCTGTATTGTTTTAAGTTTTGCTGCAAAAGATCTATAAAACATTTTCCATAATTCAATGAATCATATTTTTTTTGGTCTAATTTTCATTTAAAATATATACTTGGTTGGTACAAGGGGGTCTCATCCCCAATTCCCAAGAAATTTTAAAAATGTAAAATCCTGAATTCCTTTGAAAAAAGCGTCCATTCCCCAATCAGTATATAATTAAATCCTGAATTCTCATAGAAATAACTGACTACTCCAAAAATTATATATATATGCAAAATAGCTCAATCCTGAATTCTGCCCCTTTTTAAAAACAAAATATTTGATGACAACAAGACAGTTCTCTGAGTAAATACACTGGTAGGAATAAAAACATTCATATGAAAACAACACAAAAGTCATGTATAACTGACTAAAATCTAAAATTCTATTTCAAAGCAGATATATTTCTGTCATATCTTCTGCAAGACGTTAAATCATTCAATAGTTCATGCATAAAATGCTTACATCATTGACTAAAATAGAAATAATCAGGAATCATGTGTAACACTATAATAAATATGTCATGTAAAAAACTCTTAAAATCATGCAAAAGAAGTACAAATCCAGGTATCTTAGATAGCAGGGGTTCAAAGTTGCATTAAATTTTCCTTCAAGAAATAAGAGGTTTGCAGATTTTATTGAGTATCCCAATTAATTTATAAAAACTTCTTTGTCTTAGTGCTAGAAAGGAAAGGCCAAATTTGCACTTTTCTCACTTTAGATGAAACCCTGAGAATTTGTATGTTTTTTCCTGTTGCTAATTTTTTTCTTATTCTTTTTCATTTTTTTTGCCTTGGAATTGTCTGTTTTCTTTGACTCAAGACATTTTATTGTCATCCTGTTATCTTTTGTCTCTTTCATCGTTTTTCATTATTTCCAGTGTGTATTATACACTTTTCTTCAACTTATGATTTTTTTATTGTCTATTTGTTATCTTCTGTCACTTTTTCTATTAAATCTTTTGTATAATGTTTAGTGTTTAGTGTAAATCACTTGACCCAATTGAAGGTATACATTTTTTTTTCCAAATTAACAGTAGACACACATGAATATTTCAAAAAGTCAAAAAGTCTTCCTGATAATTTCCCCTTGTATACATGATTGCAACAAGAAAGGCCATTGGTGACCTAGTGTCATAACAATTTGATTTGTACATGGTTCTTTAAGATGGTGATCTATTTATAACAATTAAAATCAAATATACATAGATAAACAAACCTCTGGAAGATTGTCGAAATCAACGAGATCATCAATATCATCGTCATTTTCATCAGACAGACCAGTCAACAAGTCTTCAAAACTCTTCTCTATTTTCTATTATGATTATTTTAAAAAACAAAACAAAAAATGGTTAAAAGTCTGTGCCGGCTGTATATTTGTTGGATTTGCATTTTTTATTCAGTGTCCCAATGTTTTGATTTGAGGAGAAAAAAATTGTTCCAGGATTCTTTAACTTCTGTTCATTTTAGGGAAAAATGATGCATGGAAAGTTAGCCTTTTCTACACTACAGTTTGTAAATTTTGCTTTTTATTCAGATGTCTGTAAAAAGTATCCTTCATATGCCCACTCTTTTTTTATCATGTCTAATTTTGAAAATATATTTGAATGAGACAACAACTCAATAAAGACCTTCAAATGTGTTGTTTGTGTTATTGGATTGTAGTCCCATTGCCACACATGTGCACTCAACATAATTTATTTTCTAAATATTTATAAAGCTACTTTTATTGATAAAGTTTACAGTTTCCTCATAATTATGCCCAAACTAAAGAAACTTCTATTAAAAAGATTCACCTACCATGCATCAACAACCAATGTGAATGAACGAAAAAAGCAAGACCCCCCCCCTTTCGAAGCTGTAGTATATATATAAGCAAGCTTAAAAAGATCTTATATTATACAATTCTCATCTCATAATATAAGTTTCATGCTATCTAAGCATTCTGTTGTCAAAATGAGTTTCAAAATATTATATGCAAATCAAACAAAGAAATACAGGTCTATACAATTGCAAATATATACAAAGGTAAAAGTGCTTTGTTAGATTTGTAGGCAAATATACAAGTAAAACAAATATTATTATGACAATTACATGTTAAACATAAATATATAATTATATATACAACCCTTGACAATACTTCACTTGTAAAACTACTGTCCTATATTTACTTTTTAAATATTACAACAAACTGATGAAAAGTTAGAGTAAAAATCATTCTTGTGTTAACCACTCTTATTTTAGCAAGAAATTAAAGTACAAAAAGACTTGCAAAAGTAACTTTAAATATCGTTTAAAGATTATACACACGTGACGGAATAATCACTCTGAGTAATGATTTTTCTCTGTGAATGCTGGCGATTGCAAGTGATTCACTATGAAATATCATAGTATTATAATAAGTAAATGCGAGAGAATTAAATCAGAATATTATCAACAGCATTTTTTACTAGATCTCCTTGAGTATACTGTAGTCATTGAATTAAAACTGCTTAGGCTGAATTCCAAGTATACATGATAAATCAAATGTACAATTACCTACATCAAGCAGTATTAGATGATCAATTCAAATTACCAAGGTTTGCATTTTTTTTTTTATACCTCTGTAAAATTTCAATAGGAATTGATCACAAGAAAAATTGTTCACACATAAATGGTTTAGGTTGTGACATGCCTACATTCAATGGCATATTAAATTGTATTTATACACTGTGTGTAATCTTATTTCAGAAAGACACAATTGTGGAACAAAAGTATAAACATAATCTAACTGTGAACTGAATAAATTTAAAACATGTAAATTTACATCATGAAAAATGAGTTTGTTTTGTTATTTTACATCTTGAAAAATGAGTTTGTTTTGTTATTAAGTGTACAAACAACCTTGACATTTGTCCCTCTACTTTTTAAATTGATTTATAAATGTTTCAACCCATGTGAATGTGATTGAAATTTTTATGTGGAATTTTCTCTCTTTTTCCCATCTAAATTAAATTTGGGCTAAAAAGTGTTCCTGTACATTTCAGACTTTAGATTTTTGTATGTTTTTTGGTTTCAGTTGGAAATTTTATTCTTAGTATAACAACCACTTTTCATTATGTTCTGACAGCTGTCAATGACTGTCCGTAAAGTCTGTCCAGTTATAAAAACAGGAGAATTTACAAAGATATCCATGGCATTAGTAGAAATTCCAGTTCATTAATGGACATACAGGGGACAAAATGGCAAAAAAACCCACTCTTAATAAAAAACATCTCCAGTCCATAAAATTACCCTATTTTTAGTGAGTGTTGATCTTTCTTGTGCCATGTCTTCTTTCTGGAATATTTCCTCTAAGATCGGGTTATTGTCTGTCAATATATCATCTAGATCATCAGAAGTTGAACTTTGACCTGAAGTCAATAGTGGTGGTTTAGTCTTTCTTTTGGGAAAAGTCTGTAATGAAAAAAAAATGAACAATAAACATCAATCTCACAGAAACATACCACAAGGTCACATGATGTGTAAACTGAAGGTTTTTAAAGCTCCATTTGACTTTAACAGCTCAACCAAGGTGACTCAGGTACTGTCGATTCATTATTATTTGTGGAGTATCATTTTTGTAGATTTCGTTGGGATAGGTGAACCTAACCAATTTCAGTGTTCCACAAAGTATAAATTTTCTATAGGCGTGTATGCAAACTTTTGCAAAACCTTGAAATCAAATATCCATAAAAATTTGATATTCCCTCAATCCATGAAAGTTGATTAACCCACGATAATAAATGAATCACATTTTCCCAGTTACTGAGTCACGATCTTGGTGCTGATTTTTAACATTTATTCACTAACAATTTCACTTAATGATAATATCACAGTGATTAATTATCACCAGCATCCACTATTTTTTTTTAATATTTCACCTAAATATTAAATGGATTAATTTAGTCTGTACACTGTTAACTCGAATAGTTCTGCACCCTCTAGCCTATCGTTAAAGCAGCAATTGGAGATTAGCTGGAGATCGGCTTTATATAACGACTGACTTTATTCAGGTTAGTAAACTGTATGTAAAATAATGGAAGTTCCTGACAAAACTTAATCCATCACCCGTATATCCATTCAACTTCAACTCCTTGTTTTTTCATTCATCTTATTAATATTTCTCCAGATACAGCCCTGTGAAATCTACACAATAAAATTATAAAATTGTGTTTTATAAAATTTGATTAGTTAATTGCAAGTCATACAATATTCATTTGACAGATACTTAAACATTGAGACTCTCACAACAATCATGTGGTTGACTTGTAATGATCATAGCGTAACAACTAGGTCTTGTAAAAATCATGTGGCACACTTCATTTTTAGGTCACATGATTTTCAAACAACTATCACTTTTGATTTATGATACTAAGAAGAAAAAAAAAGAAAAAATCCAACGTCTGTGATCTTTCTGCTGATGTATATTAAAGATAACCAAAAAACACAAATAATAAACAGTAAACAGAAATTTGGTCACAAATCATTTTAAAAAAATCCAATAGAACTTAAAAGACTCCACATTTTGAGCTTAAATTGGGTAGGCAGGGAATCATATTTTTTAACTCCAAAAATAAGGATATTTCAAGGGAAAAATCAACAGACCACAAGTGAAAGTATATTTTCACAAATAGCTTACCACAGTTCCATTGAGAAAACAAATATAATGAACGTGTGAAATATTTGTGTGGTGAGATGTTAGTGTGCAAGATGTTACCGGTACATTAATATTGACTGAAAGAATTATACTTATACCATAATGGCATAGTATAGAATTATAGATCATCAAAGCTCATTTAATTTTGCCTTATATTTTTTACAATTATTATAGTATGCTGTTATTTTAAATAAAATAATTATTTAACAAAAGAATGAAAAAAACAAAATTATATAATATAAAATCAGATTAGATTTTTTTTTTTTTGCTTTGGCTAACACTTGTTTCATTTTTCACTGAGATTATATTCAACATGTAAATAATCTTAAAAGCCTCTATAGTCTTATTTAAGGCAATGAGTTTTCCACTAAGTACCTGAGGTTGTGGGATAGGTTCCCATCAAGTGTGTGAGATTGTGGGATAGGTCTCCATCAAGTGTGTGAGGTTGAGGAATGGGTCCCCGTCAAGTGTTCAGGTTGTGGAATAGGTCCCCGTCAAGTGTGTGAGGTTGTGGGATAGGTCCCCATCAAGTGTGAGAGGTTGTGGGATAGGTCCCCATCAAGTGTGTGAGGTTGTGGGATAGGTCCCCATCAAGTGTGAGAGGTTGTGGGATAGGTTCCCATCAAGTGTGAGAGGTTGTGGGATAGGTCCCCAACAAGTGTGAGAGGTTGTGGAATAGGTCCCCATAAGTGTGAGAGGTTGTGGGATAGGTCCCCATCAAGTGTGAGAGGTTGTGGGATAGGTCCCCATCAAGTGTGAGAGGTTGTGGGATAGGTTCCCATCAAGTGTGAGAGGTTGTGGGATAGGTCCCCATCAAGTGTGAGAGGTTGAGGAATAGGTCCCCATAAGTGTAAGAGGTTGTTGGATAGGTCCCCAACAAGTGTGATAGGTTGTGGAATAGGTCCCTATAAGTGTGAGAGGTTGTGGAATAGGTCCCCATAAGTGTGAGAGGTTGTGAAATAGGTCCCCATCAAGTGTGAGAGGTTGTGGGATAGGTCCCCATCAAGTGTGAGAGGTTTTGGGATAGGTCCCCATCAAGTGTGAGAGGTTGTGGGATAGGTCCCATCAAGTGTGAGAGGTTGTGGGATAGGTCCCCATCAAGTGTGAGAGGTTGTGGGATAGGTCCCCATCAAGTGTGTGAGGTTGTGGGATAGGTCCCCATCAAGTGTGTGAGGTTGTGGGATAGGTCCCCATCAAGAGTGTGAGGTTGTGGAATAGGTTCCCATAAGTGTGAGAGGTTTTGGGATAGGTCCCTATCAAGTGTGTGAGGTTGTGGGATAGGTCCCCATCAAGTGTGTGAGGTTGTGGGATAGGTCCCCATCAAGTGTGAGAGGCTGTGGAATAGTTTCCCATAAGTGTGTGAGGTTGTGGGATAGGTCCCCATCAAGTGTGAGAGGTTGTGGAATAGGTTCCCATCAAGTGTGAGAGGTTGTGGGATAGGTTCCCATCAAGTGTGTGAGGTTGTGGGATAGGTCCCCATCAAGTGTGAGAGGTTGAAGGATAGGTCCCCAGCATGTGAGTGTCAAACCAAATTACGATTTGGGGTTTTCTGCTTCTTGCTGGAAGTAAAATGCATTTAGGAATAAGAACAAGGACTTAGGTCTGTGTCTGTTTGATTTTATCTGTGTAGAACCACATGTCTTCCATTGGACTGAAGTTCACCTTATACTTATTTTGAAGAAAAATAATCCAAGAAGGAAAGAAATTAAATCAGCTAAATATCTGATTACATTAACCCTCACAGTTTTACAGAAACAAGAATCTGTCCATAGTACAGGGATGCCCCACTCGAACTATCATTTTCTATGTTCAGTGGATTGTGAAATTGGGGTAAAAACTCTAATATGGCAATAAAATTACAAAGATCATATCATAGGGAACATGTGTACTAAGTTTCAAGTTGATTGGACTTCAACTTCATCAAAAACTACCTTGACCAAAAACTTTAACCTGAAGCGAGACAGACGGACGAACGGATGGACGGACAGACTGACGGACAGACGCACAGTCCGAAAAACATAATGCCCCTCTACTATCGTAGGTGATATATCTGAAGTAAAATCATTACAAACTTAATTCTAATTTCTTTAAAAAAATATAACAAGATAACAACATGTATTTAAGATAACCCAACTTTTACCTCAATTTGGAATCTGACCATTCCCATATTATTTGTTAATTTTTTTCCTTAAAACTTTCTTTGAGATAGAAAATTTTAATGTGTATCAGATTAATGATAAAAATGATCATATTTTATTATGTTACATATTTAAGACAGTTTGTACAAATTATTGACATGTTTGTAAAAAGCCTGAGGAAAAAACTAAACTTTTAACTAGTTTTATTTTATCACATTGACTTTGCTATTTTACTACAATAATAACACAATTACAACTTAAAAAGTTACTTAGGAGTCCAATTCTATTCAAAATACAAGGTCATTATATTACAATGGAAAGGGAAGTAATCCTGTAATACACCATTCATTGTTGGGATTTCAGTAAAATAATGACACTCGTTTTTATCTTTTTTCTGTATCTTGTCCTGCAGACTCAAAATCCTGATCTACAGATGTGTTTGATGGTATAATTGATTATTGGTATTTAATGCCACTTTCGTCACTCCTTGCTTTATTGTGGCTGCCAGGTTATGTTGTTGGGAGGATGTGACAGAGAATCACCGACCTTTGATTTAAAAGAAATTCTTATCAATTATTATTGCAGTCTACTACGAAGTAAGACCTCTGAAGAGTTTGAAAATTCGTTATTACTAACGTTAACACATTACATGTAAATTAAGAAATATGTGTGTGCATTTATAATGACAATTTTTAAACAAGGAATAAATATATGTGCTATAAATTATTATGATTTGAGGAATTTGCAGCCTTCAAAAATTTAAAATGCAAATTGTTTTTTATTGTAAAACCTATCCTATCCCAATTTCGCATATAAAAAAACATAAAAACAATTCAGTAAATATCCTGTTTTTGTTTTAAAGATATAAAAATGGGGCACAATGTGGAATATGTATAAAAAAAATATCTATTTATATGTAACCTCAGGACAGATACAAGACTCAGATTTGTTTTTTATGAATAAATTAGATGTTGAGGTTTACATTAATGAAACAGCAACCCAGCAACAACACAAATATTCATAGACATCTAAAGAGCAATCTGTTTGCATCTTTGCATTATGCAGTATATTTAGAGGTTCTATAACATTATAAAACTGAAGGAGATAACGAAAACTTTGACACTTGAATATTTCATTTGTAAATAAAATCTATGGTGTGTCTGGTGTATATCATTAGAAAAGATATTAAAAATTACCAAAAATGTCATATTGGAAGCGTTAGTAGCTTTTTGACCACAACATACATAATCTTGTATGAACTACGTATGCACAAAAAAACTGATGGAAACATTTAATTTCTAAATTCTAGTATCTTTCCTACTCTCAAAATAAATAACCCAGTTTTAAAATGTTTCACATGTGAATATCCTTATCAATAACTTAATTGTATTAAAGATTAAAAATTGTTACACATTTCCTTTAAATCTGTAGATCATGTACATGTAGGTAGTTTGTCAACTGTATAAAACTGAAATGACAACAAACAGATGTATGGTTCCTGTATGTATTTACTTATTCAGTGCTCCTAAGATCCAATGAAGCATTTATATTTGTCAACTGTGATGTTATATTCAAAACAGCTGATTCTTAACAATTTTCATAATTAAAGTGCATTCCTC